ACCATTTACATGATTGTTCTGGTGAGAGGGTGGGTCTTTTTGGAATGCCTGGTCCAGAACAGCAATCAAGTCTACACTTCTATCCTTTGGTCTGGGATGCCTACCCTGTCTATTTCAGCTCCTTTTCCAGTCACATTGAGATAACAATTTTCTATTCCTCACATCTGTCTATGACAACAATAAGTATTGCTCTTTTTAATACCAGACAGCAGCTGCATTCGGGCCTCTCCTGTGGAGAATCCATTGGTGGCTTTGTTCCTCCAGACTGATCTGTTGACTGAAGGTATTGCAAAGGTATACTGGGTTTGGGAAATCACAGTGCCCAACAGATCAGTGACCTTAAGTAAAATAAAATGTGGATGAAGTGAGCTCATTCTCCAACAGCCATGGGACAGCAGAAGGGGCAGATAGGACATGACAAAGCTAGAGTCACAAGTCCTTTGAAGAAAGATTAAATTAACCTTTCTCACATTCAGTACCAAATCATAAGTCACAGTGAGCACTCATTAGATGTGTCTGTCCCTGCCCTTCTCACCTTGGAGGAAGAGTGTAAATATCCCAAGGCAGCAGGTAGAGTGAGACAGAGTTTGGGGACCTCTTAGCCAGAAAAAGAAGCCCTAGTGGCATAGTGGTTAAGAGCTCAGTTGCTAACCAAAAGATCAGTGGTTCAAACCCACCAAACGCTCTGCGGGAGAAAGATGTGGCAGTCTGCTTCTGTAAAGATTACAGCCCTGGAAACTCTATGGGGCAGTTCTGCTCTATCCTATAAGGTCGCTATGAGTTGGAATTGACTCTACAGCAATGGGTTTGGGTTTGTGGTAGGCAGAGAAAGATAAGAACCTTGTGCTTGGGAAGCTGATAGGCCCTGAGATATTTAAATCCTGGGCGCTTATTCCCCTACGTGCTTCTTCAGGGATCAAGACTGGCTTTTGAAAGTTACAGACTATTTCAATTAGGAGCAAGGAGAAATGGTTCTGGTAGCCTCTGGACCCGCAGGGTCCCAGAAGCGCAGCGCCCCCTGTCGGCCAGTGTGGCGGCGGCCGCGGGAACAGGCGGGAGCAGAAGGCACCTCACCTAGTCTGTGCAGTCCCCAATTGGCGCCCCCTCCGCTATACCCACAGGCTCTTTTCAGAGATTTGCCTGACACGCTTGGGGTTTGTTTCTATAAAGGAGACCCATATCACTTCATGTGTCACCTTCAGACCCCTCCCCAGAGCCCATATTTCGTCCAGGCGGTGGCGAACCATGTTGAGGAAAAGGGGTCCGAAGGACTGGAGAAGAACCTTGGACATCAGACATTCGGGGGCCCCGGGCAGCACCATCTGGATTTCCCAGCTCGTGGGAAACCCGCTCCATGAGGCCAGACACCATCACCCCAGGGTGGGGGCGCGTATTTATGTAAGCCTCCTTGGTGCTGGCAAGGGGCTGGATGATAGGACATAAAATTACCAAGATATAAGTCCTGCCCTTAAGAACTTTCAGTCAAGGGGTCCTAGTACCAAAGGTGAAAGATAGCAGGTGTGGAAGTTCGCAAAACAAAAAACAGAAAGAGATGAAGCGACTACGATGACGCTCGAGGATGGAGCAAGAACAGAAAGCAACGGCCTATTGGTTGGTTGGGGCTGGGCCAGCCGTCACTCCCTATAATGAAAATCATAACCCTGGTTTGCTTTAGGAAACTAATTCTCCACCGTTCCCCAGTCCCGACCCCCCACCTCTCCAACGCAAAAAGTCATCAGTACATTCATCCCATTCTTCAGTCCCTATCATTGTGGTTGGTTCTGAGATGGGCACTTGACCAATCAGAGGCATTTGTTCAATGATAGGGATTGAGGGCAGGTGCCATTTTCTGCTGGGCTTAATCCTGAGAGAATATAAGGTCTGGAATTGCTGCTGCCATCTTTCAAATATGTGAGGGACTGAGGGACGTGTGCCTGAAAAGGGAGTCAAGATAGAGGAGAGGAGGATATAGAGATATTGAAAGAAATTGGGTTGTTTTCACCATCTGAGTTTTGATAAGCTGTTCATGAAGCCATAACCATCCCTTATTGCTTAAGACAGTCTTAACTGTTGGTGCAGGCTCTTATGACACCAGAAAGACCAAGTATGTGAAGAGAAAGTGGTTTCAGTAATGCTAAAAAGCAGAAAGAAGATTACTGTGAATTTTAGATTAGAAATCCAAGATGTGTTATTTATTTATCCATTCCCATGTGAGTATCATTTTTAAACAGGATAAATGGAGTTGGTCTCCTTGAGAAGATGACTTTTTAGTAAAGACTTATTTAGAGAGGGTGAGGAAGTTAGCCATGGGCAGGGCAGGTGGGATGGGGCTGGGAAGGCTCTAAGGCAGTGATGGGCCTGGTGTCTTGGAGGAACAGCAAAGAGATGAGGGTTCTAGAGTGGAGTAGGGGAGAAGGAGAATAGAGGGGATTTGTTCTAAAGGGTAAGTGTGTGGGAGAACAGATCTTGTAGGTGCATATGGATTTTTATAGGGATTTAGCTTTTACTCACAGTGAATTGAAGAAGTGATAGAAGGTTCTGAGCAGTTACGACCCTGGCTGCTGTGTGGGTAGAGGCAGGGTGGAGGGTAGAGGCAGGGAGCTCAATGACAAGGCTTTGCAGTAATCCCGGTGGGAGGTGAGGGAGTCTCAGACCAGGTAGTAGCAGTGGACAAAGGATGTGGTCAGATTCAGGCATGAATTTCCTGAATAGATGTAAGAGAAAAAAAGAGTAAAGGTTTACTACAAAGTTGTTGCCTATAATTGGAAATGCTTAGTTACTTTCAACTGTTGTTGTTGTTTTATGGCCATTGAGTTGATTCTGACTCATAGCAACCCTACTGAACAGAGTAGAACCACCCCATAGAGTTTCCTAGGCTGTAAATCTTTACGGGAACATATCTCCAGGTCTTTTCTCCAGAGGAACCACTGAGTGGGTTCAAACTGCTGACCTTCTGGTTAGCAGTCGAGCTCGTAATCATTGTGTCACCAGGGCTCTTCACCTTCAACTGAGACAGAAATGTTGAAGGAGGAACAGGTGGAGGGGGTAGTTGAGGAGAAGATAATTATGTCCATAATTATGATATAAAATTTTATGACATATATTAGACAACTGTGTGGAGATATCAAGTAGATAGTTGGATGTACAAGTCTAGAAGTCAAAAGAGAGAGCTGGGCTTACTATTTGTGGGGTGCTGGAAAGTCAGTAGTATAACATCCAAGACTAATTAAGATCACCAAGAGAGTGTGTGTGTAGATACAGTAGAGGCACTATAGCTACTCCTGAGGATCTCCAACATCAAGAGGCCAGGGAGAAGAGAAGGGACTAATGATGGGGCAGAATGAGAGCCCAGAGATGCAGGGAGAAGACTCAGGAAAGGGTGGTGTCCTATAACCCAGCATGCAGACTTGACACAACTAACTGCTTGCCTGCACCAGGACCAATCTCATGATACTTACAATTTCTTCAGTCTTGGGGTACCCTTGCAATGTCTCCTTGACCACCAGTTGACATGTTCTTGTGTGTATGTTGTCAAGCAGACATTGCAAGGGTACCCCAAGACTGAAGAAATTACAAGTGTTGGACATCACATTATTGCAAATAGGAGCTCTAAAAAGGAGACTTTGAGCAATCAAGGTCCTCAACAATGTTTTTTTTACCACAAATGCAGAAGTCCTATTCTTGAGGCCATATCTAATGACATTCCTCAATTACAAATAAAGGTATAATAACATAAGCCCATAATTCAGTGGAAGCTACAGGCTGTTCCTCACACTGCCTGATCAGTATGGTACTGATGGTTCAGGTAACTTTTAATCCATTCTTCCAAGTCATAAAGTGAATTGTGGCATTCTCGTGGCCATTCTGGACCCCATTCACACCATGTCCATTCCCAAGCCTCTGAGAAGAGAAGCAGGGGGTTCCTGCAGAGTGTCCAACCCTTTGCTTTTCCTATAAGATGTTATATATGCACTAGAGTCTACACTGTGCCTTTGAAGAAGCTTTTTCAAAACATGACTCATAAATTCTGAGAATCTCAGGGATCCATTAATGCCATCCTGTGTTAAACTTAGTATTTTTTCTGTGGTGCTGTACGTAGGACTGGAGCTCTCTGCTGCTCCCCTTTCCATAAGTTTAGGAGTCCCTGGATGGAACAGATGTCTTCCCTGATTGGAGATATAATCTCCATGGTCATTCTGTAGCCAGTGTACTTTCTTCATCAACAGAGGCCAGATCCAAATAGCAAATCTCTGCCCTACAGCAAGATACTTTATAAATTAGATTAGTTACATTAGGAGGAGGAGAGGTTCTGGCTTTGGGTACTGGTTGACCAGTTAAGTCATGAAACAAGGGTGCTTATTTACACAAGTAGGAGCCCTGGTGGCACAGCGGCTAAAGTGCTCAGCTGCTAACTGAAAGGTTGGCGGTTTGAACCCACCAGCCACTATGAAAGAGAAAGATGTGGCAGTCTGCTTCTATAACTATTTATAGCCTTGGAAACCCTATGGGGCAGTTCTACTCTGTCATAGAGTGGCTAAGAGTCACAATCGACTCAACAGTGGTGTTTTTTATTACACAAGTGGTCCATGTCCCTGATGTACAAGACTTTATCTTCAAGACTCAGAACTTCTGCTGCTCTGCCTGCCCCACCCACAGGGACTGCTTTATATCTAGAAGGCCCAGAGTACCGAGGGAAACCAGCTGCTCCTGAGCCCCAGGACCATCAACTGAATGTGTTTTACAGGAGCTGAAGCCCAGCGACTGGGTAAGACAAGAAGTCCTAGTGCTGGGGCACCAGGAGTAGTAAACAGGGAAACAACCGAGGGAGAAGGGAGCAGCACTTATGGCCCTGGGGATGGGAATAAACACAGGATCTGGGAGGAGAAAAGGAACAAAACAGAAGCATATTAGCAGGGGGTCCTGCTGGATGCGTCACAAGGGAATCTGCCATGATTGGACAGGGAGACTGAAGATACGTTACTTCTTTTCTTTCAGGAAACATGGCTCCAAACCTGTACAACTCTTGACTCTGTCTCCTTCTGCTGTTGGGGTTCTTGGGAATGATGAGCACATGGCATGCCCAATCTCATTTAACCAGGGCTCAGTGGTTTACTACCTAGCATGTACGACACACCCAGTTCTAGTGCGACAATGAAATGCACAAAATTAACCAATACACAAAAAATTGCAAAGGCAGAAATGCGTTCCTCCAAGAAACCTTTGCTGCGGTAGCTAATGTTTGTCACAGCCTATATGTTCGCCATAGGAATGGCCGCTGGAACTGTCATAATAGTACAGCACAGGTGCTTTTAACCTACTATCACCTCACAAGAGGAAGGTATCCAAGCTGCAGTTACAGCCGAAGACTGAGAAAGATGTTCTACACTATTGCCTGTGACCAACGGTCTCCACAGGACTCACTTCAATTTCAAATGGTTCCAGTTTACTTAGAATCTACTAAATGCCTGTATGATCTCTCTGTGCTACTCCTCACCATCTATGTCCCCCAATACAGCCATTCTCCTATAATACCATTCACTCTGGACCTCAGCATCCTTGCCCATCACTCACACCCCCATCATCAATCAGTTGAGTTGAGCTGACTGTAGACCCTTTAATCTGGTATTTGTGGGAAATTCAGAGATGTACATAAAGAGATTCCCTGTGTCATAATGCAGCACAGACTCGTCCCTCTCACTTGCCTTAGTCCAAGAGGCTGAGGCCTCCCCTGGTATTGCCTCTTCCCCTCCCAAGAGCTAAATGGGTCTCAGGAAACTAGGAGACAACAAATGTGATTAATTCTGTCTGTCTTCTCAATTTCCTTTATTTGAATTGAATCATAAATTTTAAGGTAGACAGGATCTTTATTCCGTACAAAAAGAATAGAGGGAGGAAGAGAGACAGAAAGAAAGAAATCATGAAAACAAAAAGAAAAGCTTAACCCTCAGAGTTATTTTCAAAGTGGAGTGCATCATATTTCCAGGTATTCGTGGTTTTAAACTGCTAAAGGAGGACCCAGGATCCCAGGCCAGACTTGGAATGAGATCAATTGTTTAGGCACACGTGGGCACATTCTAGTAGTGTCTGAAGAAGAGGTGTACCTGTCACCAACAGTGAATTGGCAGTCCACTCATGCTCAATACAAGAGGGGGGCACAGGCTCCAGAAGAGGATATTAGGGATCCACTAAAGTAGGGGTAAAATAATGAGAACGCTTTCCCTACTCCATCCCAGCGATGCAATCTGAAACGGGAAACTGTACAAGTGCAACCAGCCAATAAATTGTTGAGGTTGAAGGATGGGACTTCTTAGAATGTGTGACTCAAGCTAAAACAGAAAAAAAAGGCCATCAGATCTGTACCTCTCTACCCATGGGTCTTTGAGTCCTGCTCTCCCTACTTGAATTCTTCTTTCATGCTCTCCCAGATAACAAATTTGCCTTTCCTTCCACCTCTCTGCAATGACAGTAAGTTATGCTCTTTTCGGTGCCACAAACAGCAGCTGCAATTGTGGCCTAGTCTTTGGAGAGGCCATTGGTGGTTTTGCACCTCCAGGCGGCTCAGTAGACCCTAAAGGAGCTGGAAACCAACTGTGAAGAGACACGTGAATGATCAAGACAGGGAAAGATAGAAGATAATACCCATATCCCCCTTTCCTACGCCAAGCTTCCCACCCAAAGCAGGCCTGAAGTGGAGTGCAAGAACGGCTTTAAAATTTAAATTTGGGGTTTTCCAATTACATGGGACTGGACAAATTAGTTACTGGAGTTAAGTGTTTTAAGACTTAAGATGGTGGGAGAAGATTTTAACACCTTTAGACTAACCAGAAAAGTATTAGAAATAGACCCAAACTTCATGCAAGGGGGAGGGAAGAACTACTACGTAGTGTACAATTTAAACATCTTGTGGGGTAGGAGGGCAGGAGGCTCTGAGCATGCCAACATAGTTACCGAAAGATTAAAAAATCATCCAATCTAACTTTCAGTCTCCTGGCCTGTAAAACCTTCCCTTTTTTTTTTTCTTTTGGCTCATCTACCAGAGCTACTGGCTGCCCAGACCTACCTCTAATCCAGTCATCAGACCAGCACTACAAAATGTTAAGAGTTGGTCTTGCTCTTTTGAGCACAAAGACAGAAATATTGAGGGAACTTGCTCATGCAGGGAGGTACCGATGGAAAGAACCACATGCCTGTGAGGAGAGGACTAATGAACCTTCCTCACTGGAGTCAGCAGATCGTGTCTGTCCTCTCAGCCCATGAACAGCATTTCTTTCAATCCATAACTGAGGGTCCTATTCACCCAGCCACTCTAGGCCCTGCCAATTTTGTGTCCTTACGCATATCATCTTCTTTCATTAATTTACAAATTTCCTCTCCACATGTATTTTAGAGACCTACTATGTGCTGGGCACTGTTCTAGGCTCTGAGGATACAATGATGAACAAGAAAGACAAGATTCCTTCTTTCATGACATTTACAGCCTAGTGAGGGAGACAGACAATAAAAAATAAGCAAATGGATAAATAAGCTTAAAGTAGAGATAAATGCTAAAGGAAAAACTTCAGTGGAGGAGAAACATGCTGGTGAGTACCTGGAGAGGGGGTGGCAGCCTCAGACAGTGGGTGGCAGAAGGTCTTTATGAAGAGCTGCCAACTGATTGATAAGGGCAGAGACATGCAAAGATAAGGAACAGAGGGGACAGCAAGCAAAGGCCTTGGAAGGTAACAGCTTAGCATGTTTGAGGAAAAGCAATATAGGTCAAAGTGACTGAAGAAGTGAGTGAGGAGATGCCTAATAGGTTTCAGGCAGGAGTGAGAACATGCAGGACCCAGGAGGCCAAGATAAAGACTTGGGATTTAACTCTAAGTGAAATTGAGCCTCTGTCAGAATTTTTAACACATGAGTGAAGAGATCTAATCTACAGTTTAAAGATTGCTCTGGCAATCAGTCTGGAAGCTATAGCTGTTTAGCCAGAAGGAAAGATGATTTTGGAGAGAAGTGGAAGATTCTGGATGTATTTTAAAAGTAGAACAACAGGACTTATTGCTGAATTTGAAGTGGAGGAAAAGAGAGGAATCCTCCTATCTTCATAAAGGTATCACCATCCTCTCACTTCTGGGTGACATCCTCATTCCCCACCTAAAATCATGTCATCCCTTCCCACACCTTCCATGTTTCCCCATCTCCTCAGAGCCTTTCCTGCCACATCTTCATGCTCTCTACTCACTGAGTCTCTGAAGTGAGGGGTCTGCTGAGGACAGATTGAGATGGTGGTCCTCAATTTGAGTCAGCAGTCTCCATTTCTTCTCTGGGGCCTGCTCACATAGAGCTGTCTCTGTGGACGGGCCAGCAGGGGAAGGAAGTTTAGAGCTTTGTGGATGAGGAAAACCACAGCTTGACACATAACCCTCTTGTACAACAGGCATTGAAGATTTATAGGCTGGACTAAGTGAAATCCATTGACAGTGAAGAGAGGACAGAACCAGGGATACAGTTGGGCCTATCGTTGGGTAGAGGCTGAGAGACATAAGCAAAATGACAATAACAGACATTCAAGCATGTGAATACAGAAAACAAAGACAAGAAAATAAGTCCAAGGATTCTTCCAAGTAAGGGCTGGATTAGGACTGTTACAGAGTTCAGAAACTGGAATGACCTTCCAGACAAAGTTCAAGAGGCAGCCAGTCAGCCTCAGGGAGATCCACCTGCAAGCATCAACCAAGCATGGGGAGCTAGGGCCAAGAAACACCATAAAGGCTCTTACTGGAAGAGTGGAGCGTGGTCATCGGTTATGGCCAAGAAACAAACCAACATGACAGAGCCAGACAGGATTGGCATCACAGGGTGGAACAGAGTTGGACTTCTGGATGAGGGAAAGAAAACACACTGGCAAGGTTATCAAAGTGGGGCATCTGGAATCAAGACAAAACACCACGACCACTGTATGCCTGAAGCAATGATTGTACGGATTGCATATAGCTGCAGAGGCAGATTTGATGAGGGAATGAGTAGCCTACAGAGGCAAGGGAGCACCTGAATCCCACCCACCCTAACACAATTCACAAGTACTTCTCAAATTCCTATAATTGAGTGAAAAATTGAGCGAAGTGGCAGCACTGGGGACTCACACACAGAAAACTGAGAACAAATTCCAGTTTAGAGAACTAGTAAAGTAGAGGAAGAGATTCCAAGGGCACACCTCTAGACAGTATTCTGAAGGGCGCTAAAACCAAAACCCGTATTTCTAGTTTTGTACAGTGTTCAGTTTTCTAGAAATTTATTTCTCCCAAGACTTTTGAGCTGATCTTAGTGGTATCAATGAGGTTGATAATGAGAAAGAACAATGTCCTCAATTTTGTAACAAATAAGAGAGGTAAACTTAAAAGTGGAATTTCCTAAACTTGTTTGATGTCCCACAGTTATTTCAACAACAAAGAGACTCAAAACCAATCCCTGAAACTAACTCTCTGGCCCTAACTCCAGACAAATGCCTCAGAGCTGCCAGGAAGACTAGGAATCAGAAAAGTCTTCACAAAGGAGAGATTCAGGGAAACGGACCAGAGAGACAAAGGAATCCATCTTTTCCATCTCTCTCCTTTCACACAGCTCTGACTGCCTACTGTTGTCCCTCTCTCAGGTTCTTCTCTTTCTACACCAAAATCCACAACTAGTCTTAACTCCAGCCGGGGACAATAACCTCCCATGCTCTCCTACCTTGAAGACCAGGCAGGAATGACCATGACCTTACCCATATGCTACAAGGAAGCTCTCTGAGATTAATCTCTGATACCCATTGAAGAACATGAGGAAATAGAGCTGGTCCATTTGTGCTCAGGGGCATAAATAGGCAGGACATAGAGGCAAAAACGCTGGGGTGGTCAGAAAGTGTCAATTACAAGTAATTCTTTGGAACTAGAAGCTTTTATTTCAGATATTGCAAACTGTTTTATTTTTTTATCACGACAGAGGGAAGATAACCAATTTTGCCAGGAAATTCGTGGGAATATCTATAGATATATATACATACATATACTTACATACATATATTGATTGTTTGATTCTGGCACACAGACATGTATAGAAGAAGTACATGGACACTTCGAACCCACAAGCCGCTCCATGGGAGAAAGATGCTGCAGTTTGCTTCCATAAAGATTTACAGCCTTGGAAACCCTATGGGACAGTTCTACCCTGTCCTGTAGGGTAACTATGAGTCAGAATCGACTCCAAGGCAGTGGGGCTTGGGGTTTTTTGGTACTGGCCCGCGGGGTCCAGGCAGAGCAGTGCCCTCTGCCGGCCAGGGCGGCAGCCCCGGGAACCGACCAGAGCTGACAAAAGCGCTGAGAAAGAGAAGACTCCGAGTGAACCTTCCGGCGATATGCCGGCGAGTTTTTTGTCTAAAGGAAGCGGAATTCCCCCCGTGTACCGCCTCTGGACCCCTCCGCAGGAGCCCGTGACCCAGCCGGCGGTAGCGGTGTCTATAGGGAAAAAGAGGAACTGAAGAAGGATACTGCGTGCCGGGACACTGGGCGGCGCTCAGGGTCAACGCCATCGGTAGTTTTATTAGTGCGGCCCATGGACAAATCGACTCCGTCTACCCAAACTTCGAAGTCGATTTTTACTCAGAGAGCATCATCCCAGAAAGGCCTTGGTGGTGAAGTGGTTAAGAGCTCAGG